CGGAGCCCTGGGCCTCGTGAGAAAAAGAATGGGCAATTTTACTAACACTGTTTAAGGTAACATCAACATACAAGTTGCCCAGAAGATCGCCCTACTAGGATCATCCCATATACTAAGAAAAGTGTAACAATTCTCCTATAGAGCCTAAGGACCATAGTTTGGACACGGCTCTACAAGATAAAAAGCAGATAACATACACAAATTTCAATAATAAACACATAACATACACAAATGACAATAAACACACACACACACACACACACACACACACACACACACACACACACACACACACACACACACACATACATATATATATATATATATATATATGTATAAAAGGGTAAGTCAATAAATTATCCGCACTTTAGCCATAACATATCTTTAGGTTTGTCACACTAACTTTTGCACATACTTGCTTATAGTTGGTAATTTTGTGATCATGTGATCAAAGTTATATCTATATATCTATCTATCTATCTATCTATCTATCTATCTATCTATCTATCTATCTATCTATCATCGCAGTACATTCATCACCGTAATAAATTTCATGCATGGCAGGCGAACGAAGGAGAGATAGTTAACTATTATGACTCAGCAGACGCAATATATATATATATATATATATATATATATATATATATATATATATATATATATATATATACACAAGAAGCTCTAGGGAATTACAAACAAATTATAATATATATATATTTATGCGTGTGTGTGTGCGTGCGTGCGTGTGTGTATACATACCAGCTGAGCCTTTCCTGAGTTGCATATATATATATGTACATTTTTATTAATATGTTGACGTTTTTACTGAATATATATATATATATATATATATATATATATATATATATATATATATATATATATATATGAAACTATTAAAAACGAAAATTTTTTTGTCGATTAATTTTAATGCTTCTCAGACAAGTACAAACCATACACACACACACACATATATATATATAAAACCTCGGCCAAGGAATTAAGAACAAATTGTAATATTAAAAAACAAATATAAAATATACTTAGTAGAAAAATCTGTACATTAATAAAAATAATTTACACATGTGCAAATTAGAAAAACTGAAAAATACTATTCGCTAATACCGCCCTCAACCGCGAGAACCGGTTGAATGCAACCTTAAAATCGACTGCATGCCTTGGATCACATGCTTCTCTTGCCCATGTTGAGCATCACTTTTCACTCTTCCAATGAGTTCTTGTTATTGCGCCGCTGTTATTTGTCGACCTCTTAAAGTTGCAGTCCAAGGAGTAATACGCAGGTTGGAAAGCCACATTTTTGGGTGTTAAATATCATGCGAATTATTGGCCAGTTATTTCTGGGTTGGGCTGGAAGAATACGGCTAACCCATCTATGAAGACTTTGGCCGCCATATCTAACATTTCGTTCATATTGTTTAGTTATTATCCTCTTTCCATTGCGTCTGCGTCTGTATTACGCAGTTAGGGATTGAACCCACAATCAATGCTTTAACCCCTTAGGATATTATCCTTCGGATTAAATAAAAGATTCAGTTCAAAATTCTTTGAATTTTACCCAGATAGATAGACACATGAAGATGGTCGGGGGACATAACGGCCGAAACTTTGTGATAATAACAGCCCCGATGAGGCCTCGTGGAAAGAAGTGGGTGGCATAATATGACCCCCATTGCTCGCGACATCCAGGATGATCACGGACGACGTGAAATTATTGTGGAACACAATGGGTGCCCTCTGGGGGTCAACACAGAAACTCCTGTCGTCCCTCTTATTCCCCAGGGCAGTTTGAAGAAACTCTGACTCGCTATGGTTGGCGGTCGTAACTTCATTTCCTGTATCTGACAGAAAGCTGACATGTCAAAGATAAATTTTAATGTTTACATTAAAATGCAGCGTAATATTACATTATGGCATCTTGCATTCATAACCTGCTAATAGTGTTCTTAAATAATTGGCGCGCCTTACACACACACACACACACACACACACACACACACATATATATATATATATATATATATATATATATATATATATATATATATATATATATAGTTAAACCTAGATAGAGAGCCAGGTAAACCTATCAAGGTTTCACTTAAGCGGATCCGTGAAAGCATGATAAGTTTGTCTGGCTCTCTTGGTTTAATTAGGTCTGCTCTACTTAACATATTGAGCACTTTACTTAGTTATTTTGCTTACTCGTATCGTTTTTTTTTTCTTTGGACTTTGGACTTGCATGCTAGACGATTATTTTCGGCTAACGTACATGTTCTTGGTTCTTTCTTTTTTTATAACTTGTTTTCCCTTTGATATTGGTTTGATTATTCGCAAATGAAGACACCGAAGGTTTTCCGGACGAGTGTAATTTCTTATACTTATAAGATTATTACTACTGCTACTACTACTACTAATATATATATATATATATATATAAATATACCGTTATGATGTTTACGTGCACATTGAAGACTGTCTTACCACTATGCAGTCCAATGCGCAACTAGAATAGACTTAGTGTGTGTTGTGACACATTCCTTCGTTTCCCTTGATTAAACGTATTTGAATTTTTTGCCACACTAACTCATGTGTTGGCTCGTACTTAACGATTAATCTTTCGATCGCTTCTGTCATCGATAGTCATGCTTTTTATCCTCATTGGATCACTTTTTGGCAGTCACTGCATCTGAAGGTTGGTACACGACAAACCATGCATTTTTGGAAATGCTTCTGGTCTTTTATCAAAGTCACTCCCTGTTTTGTCGGTGATATTTTTCTCTCCTTGGACAATTACCGATAGATATTCAGCACCATTGGACGTGGATACCACACAGGCAACTCTATTTCAAAAATAAATACTCTGACCTATACTTCTGGTCATAACAGTCGGGCTTTTATCAAAGTTACTCAAACATTTCATTTTGACTATAACTTTAGCATTCAACAACATATTTGAAGTCAGCTCATTTGACAAGACAGTCTCCATTCATTTGTCACAATAAATCTTGTCTGTCCAATGCCTTGTCAAAAATTGGCACCAGAATGAACTAACGTAGATTTCTGGCCTTAACAATTAAGCCTTTATCAAAGTCACTCAAATCTTTTATCTTCATGATTTCGGCATTGAACACATCAAAATGAATTACTTGAAGCCGACTTGTTAATGTATCTCTGACCCTGACATCCATAATTATTGCATTATGTCACGTTTTCGATCCTCAATGTGTGTGTGTGTATATGTGTGTGTAATTCAATTTGAAATTCTTTGCTTAATTATTTCTTCATGAGGCTTATCTTTATTAATTTAGTGCAAGTTAGATTGATTGATTGATTTTACAGCTTACCTACCCTTTGCAGGTTATCAGGTTATTTAAAGATATAAAATATATTTACATTGTGAGAATTTGATTTTTTGTGGGGGGGGGTAATGATTTACTGATACAACTCTTACTAATTAACCCATAGCTGGGGGAAGAAGCTGTGGTTTCATACCTTTCCCAAGATTATTTGCGCGTTCATGAATATAACGAACCCGACTGGAATTGGAACTCGGCTTATCCATTACACTACCAGCAAATAGGAATCAACTTCTCAAAGACATTGGTGTTAAAGTTGATGAATATCAGCATAATGAAAACATTGAAGCAAAAGGGTAAATTAATTTTTGAATAAAGAATTTTTTCATTGATAGAATAAAAAGAAAATAGTGCTTAAGAGTTTGAAAAATATATTTTGTCTTTTGCTTTTTTAAAATTTTTTTTTCTTTTTGTTTATCTTTATCTCTCTTATAAAAATATCTGTTACAAAATAAAATCCTTGTTTTTGCCTTCATATAGTCCCTCAAAGGACAAAACACGTCGGTTAAGATACGTTTTCGACTTGCCTTTATTCATATTGTCCTTTTACAGATATACCCTATCTGAAATTTTACACGCGCGCGCGCACACACACACACACATATATATACACACACACACACACACACACACATATATATATATACAAACACACACACATATGTATGTATGTATGTATATGAGCGTGTGGCCGAGTGGTTAGAACGTTCGCTTTCTGACCCGAGTTTGAATCTCATTATGGCCGATTTGTCGGGAAGATGACTTCCTGATGTTATCGGACTGGATCGAGGTCGATCCCAGCGTTTGGCACCTTTGGAAAGTGCCTGAAAACCTTACAACTAGTTGACCTAAGCCTTGTGACTGATTTTGGGTAGACGGAAACCTTTGTGGGCCGTCGGTAGCTGTGCTAGCACGAAGCCACAAATCATCGTGGCTGAGCATGCTGACCTTGATGAAATTGTTGATCCTGCTAGATAACACGCTCTCTCCCAGAAACTGTAACTAAGGTCTGCTCAGCATAATTGCAGTATAAACCACAGGTGGGCTCTGTGGGTGTTGAGCAAACACAAATGTGCCTGAGCGAGAGTCTGCAATAGGGATTGGCTAGCCGCCCTAGTAGACAGGTATCTTCGAGTACGAGTGGCCAGTTATTATTATGTTTGTATTAAAGTGGTGATTAAGATATCGCTTTAAAACACTCCTTATAAAAAGTTCGTTCAGCTGTAAGAGTTGAGGCATGAATGACTTAGTGTTAAATTTTGATTTATTTAATAAGTATCTGCCACATTTGGTCTTTGTGCACTTTCAGCAATAGTCGATAAATATCAATGGTTTCATTTTGTTTTGCATGGACGAGTTCGATGGCATATATCTAATTCGTACGCACTTTCATGGTATACACCATTTTGTCAGAATGCTGTTATCTGTAACAAGAGAAGAAAATAAATAAATAGAATAAACAAAATTATGTGTTATTAATAAGAAGTTATTATTACAAGGTATTTCCTTCTTTACTATGATAATCTCTCAGTGACTACCTCTGATGTTGGTAATCAACGTAATAAAATAGGAGTTATTACTTTTAGAACGATCTTCTTCTTCTTCTTCTTCCGGACACATTATATTGAAACACCGGCTCTCGTACGATCACTGAAGTCAAGCATGGTCAGTACCTTGATGGGTGACCGCTTGGGAATACTAGGTGCTTTAAGTCTGGATATGCGGGTGGTGTAATGGAATGGTACTCAGAATTGTTAATCGGAGCGCCGAGTTCCATTTCCAGTTGGGCTTGTTATATTCACTTACGCACGAACACCTTTAGAAAAGGTCCGAATTCACTGCTTCTTTTCCCTGTTATGGGTTAATTAGTACGATTGGTATGTCTAAAACATTATTATCTAAAAAAAAATAAGAGATTCTTACAATCTAAAAATATTTTCTGACTTTGAATAACATGAAAACGAATCAATCAATCAATCTCCTTCTATTGATGTTCTCTTATTCAAAAAAATATCGAAATATTTGGAGTTGGGATATATAGCTTTTAAAAAAGGAGAAAAAAAATAAAATAAACATGAAAATAAACATGAAAAATCCCTGAATTGAATTTCACTCATGGAAAAATCGAATGATTCAGTTGTCACGTGATTATGTTGAAGAAATAAAAATCAACTTAGATTTTTATAAAAGTCGTTCGTTAGGATTCAAGCGTGTCGGAGAGGAATATCTTTGCTTTTCTTTTTCTACATTCAAACTTCTCACCTCATGAGTCATTTTTCAAGTCAACTGTTCCGTATTTTTCTTCTGAAAAAATGTCATTCGATTTTGTAAGCAAAAAACTAAACTGACTCATTCTGGAGACCCAATAACCCAGAATAATAAATAGCTATGCATATATTTTAAGCTCCTTTACGTATTCATAGATGATTCAGCTGCAATAATAATAATAATAATAATAATAAATATCTGTAATCATTGGTTTGTGTTTTAAATTTCATCCTAAGCAAGGCAGTAAAGTCACTAAAACACAAAGCATAGAGCTGGAAGAGAGTTCCACAAGCGAGATGTGCGAGCAAAGAAACTGTTAGCATAGAACATACGGTTGCATCTAGACAAATCAATGGTGAATTGATGAGACCTTGTCAATCTAGTACTGCGCTTAAATTCATAAAATTCTAGGTTCCATAGCGGAAAGCTTAGAATAATTACCATGAAAGTATTTATAGAAAAGGTAAAAGGAAACTACATTACGGCGGTGGCAAAGTGACTGGAACCGAGATGCCAGGTTAGGACCAATAACATTGCGGATTCTTCTTTGGATTTTATCAAGAATCTTTAAATATATAGCAGAAGCACAGGACCATGTATGGAAGCAACATTCAAAGCATGGACGAATGGTAGATTTATAAATATGTTAAATAGTTCTTTTGGAGTATCATCCTCGTCTATGATATTCGCTTGCTTGTTTTTTTTCACAATATTTACCATTCGAATGGTGATTTTTTAACTGATCTGAATGATTGTTACCAGGATATCATCTTCCCACCTATCCTTGTGCTATACTTATTCAAAGTAAATTTTAAAGGAAGGCCACAACCAAAATATTGGATCAGTGGGCCAACAAAATAAAAGTGTGCGTGTGTGTGGGGATCAGACGAGACGTATTAAATCAGATATTAAGTTTTAAAGGTTGCTGAGTCTATATTTTTTTGATCTGATCCCCTCATAAAATGAACACTTTTTTAGAGATATATTATCCTGAACTTGAACTTATTTTCTGCAATGAGACTTATAGACTTTTTCCACATAGGATCGTTTCTGTTAATTCACCCCAAAATAAAAAGAATTTATCTATCTATCTATATAATATTAAAAGTCTGTGAATCGTGCTTGCGTGGTGCGTCTTCCGTCTGGTGCACAAGTTTCTTTCCACCTATCTCTTTCCACCGCTCTCTCTTTCCACCTCTCTCTTTCCACCTCTCTCTTTTCACCTCTCTCTTTTCACCTCTCTCTCTCTACTTCTCACTCTTTTCCAACCTCTCTCTTTCCAAGGTTCTCTCTTTCCACCTCTCTCTTTCCACCTTCCTATGATTGCGTGCGTGCTTATTTAGATTTCAGATTTCTTTAAACAAACAATATTTTAAATATTTAATTTTTTTTCCATATTTGAAAATATTTTCAACTTAATATGATTTAAAAAATACGACTCCTTTATACAGTCTTCTTTTTCCTTTTTATGTGTCATGTCCTTTCAGGACGTAGGCGATCATGGCTCTCCACTTCCCCCTATCCCTTGTTGCTCTCAACAGGTTTTGTGTTTCTACCAACTCCCCCAGACCATGTTCCGCCATCCACCTGTCCAAGCCCGCCACGTATGCCATGGTCTGCTTTCCCCAGTCTCTTTTTCCCTCAATTCGTCTCGTGAGTATCAGATTCTCCAGGCCCTTCTTTCTCATCTCGTATATTTTATCTGCCTCTTCCTTATGTTAAGCATCCTCCCCAAGACCTCATCGTTGCTCACCTGTTTGGTCCATGATATCTTCAGTATCCTTCTATAGAACCACATCTCCGCCGCCTCCAGCCTCTCTTGAAGATATCGTCCAACATTCGCTGCCGTATAGAATGACAGATATTACGTAGCAGCTCAGTACTTTTTTCTTTGTCACCATAGAAATCCTCCTGTTTCGCAGTATTCTTCCCAGCTTTTGGAATGTATCCTTGGCCATCCCTTCTTCGGATCTCAGCGTCGCACCTACCGTCCTCCGTCAGAATACTTCCAAAATATTTAAACTTCCGCATAGGCTTGCCGATCTGCAAATCGCATTTTGGGCTCATCCTTTAACTGATCACCATGCATTCTGTCTTCTTGTAGTTTATGGTTAGTCCTTTCTTCTCGCTTTCCCCCGCTATCTTCTGTAGGAGGTTTTGTAGTTTCTTTTCCGTGTTTGCTATCAGTACGTGTATTCTGTGTATCTTATGTTGCTAAGGTTGTGGCCGCCAATGTAGATCTGGTAGAATCTCTAGTTCCCTCAGAATTACCTCGCTGTATAGGTTGAATAAGTCCCGTGAGAAGACACATCCTTGCCTTACGCCTCTTTATACAGTAAATATTTTTATTTCAACTTTCTTCAAACGGGCAGTTTTTTAATGTTGAAAGCAAATTCAATATTTTATAATCTGAACCTTCAGTGACCCAACGAGTCACAAGTTGTTTAGTATTTACTAAAATTCACACCAGATTCTCCCATAGCGAGACTTTCCATTGCACTCCGGTTGGGTTGACCTTTGCGATCGCTTCAAACGTGGGCGACTCGTGTACGCTATTTCTAAGTGTGGGGTCATCGTTCGTGCTCAATCCGATAAACAAACCAAGAACAGATTTTTTCTTGTTTTTCTTTAATTGTAAAAAAATCCTTGTAAATACCTCGAATATCATCCGCACTTACGAAATGTGAATAACTCCCTGATTTTTGGTAATTTTTCATTCTGGAGGTTGGAGTTGTTGCGAGTCAAGCTAAACAAACTTTGATTTAAAATGTATAATTTCAAAAGAGTGCCATTTAATAAATAAACAAACAAATTTTTATTTAAATTTTATAATTTCGAAAGAGTATCAAAAATTTAATAAAAAAAAAAAACAAACTTTGATTTAAAATTTATAATTTTGAGGGTGAATTAATATTTGCGATAAGCAACTTTACATTACTTCGGGTGAATTAACAGAAAAAAAATCCTACCCATATAAGACTGATATATAAAAGTTTCAGAAGCTAATGTTTTAAAACAAAAAAACAAAAACAAAGAAAAAAAAAACAAAGAAAACAAAACAAAACAAAACAAAACAAAAACAAAATGGAAAATGAAGTTTTGTGATTTCATTTGTAGATGTATCGCAGTAATGATTTAAGACAAATGGAACTACTCAGATCAATAACATTGTTACAAACTGAGGCTAAGAGAACAAATTTAGTCTTCTATTTAATTCTCTCAGTTTCAGGAAAATTAAAGGATCTGAAGCATCCCGAGATGACCTTCAGTGCCGGGGTATTTATATAAAAGTTTAAAAAAAAAAAAATATAAAACATATAAAATATAAAAATATATAAAATATATAAAAATATATAAAAAAAAAAAAATAAAATATAAAAATATATAAAATATATAAAAATATAAAAAACAAAAAATATAAAAAAATATAAAAAATATATAATATATAAAAAATATATAAAAATATATAATATATAAAAAATATATAAAATATATAAAAGTTTTAGAAACTAAAGTGAAAAAAAAAAATAAATAAAAAAATAAAACTGACATAAAATAAAATAAATAAAAACCAAAACGGAAACAAAAAACAAAACAAAACAAAAAAACAAACAAGGAAAAAACGAAGACAAAACAAACAGTAAATTAAAATTTAAGGATTTATTTTGAAAAATAGCGGCATTCATGATTGTGGATAATTTTCATTTAAGAAAACAAAATAAGTGGCGGTGGCTTCAGCCTCCAGCCAGTTCCCCTGTAGCGCCGTAGACGTAGATTTTAGAGTATGAATTTCCAAGTACAGTATTGAGAAACAGAAAAAAAACTTTGTTAGAAACAAAGAAAAGAGTACTGAACCGTTACGTTATATCTATCCTTCTATATGACAGTGAATGCTGGACAATTTGTTCAAAGATGAAGAAGAGACTTGAAGCAACAGAAATTTGGTTCTATAGAAGGATTCTGAGGCTACCATGGACTGAACATGTGAGCAACGACGAAGATTTGGAGAAAATGGAAACAAAAAGGGAACTTATACTTAACATCAGGAAGAAACAGTTGAAATTTCTAGGGCACATAATGAAGAAAGAGGGCTTGGAAAATCTGATACGCACAGGACAGATTGAAGGTAAGAGGGACAGAGGAAAACGTATAAATTACTTAGTGAGCTTGAGTAAATGGATGGTGGAACAAGGTTTCGGAGAAATAACAAAAAAGACCAAATTTATTAAAAGCTACAAAAAAACAAGAATTTCTGGAGAGCCATGATTGTCTACGTTCCGAGGGATACAACACATAGAACAAGAAGAAGAAGAAGAAGAAGATTTTACCGTCCATTGCTTAGAGTAACATGAACAGAGCATCTGAGTAATGAGGAGTAATCAAGAAGAGTACGAAAATCTTACTAACAATCAGAAAGTGATAGCTGACAATTTTGCTAC